ACGCTGAGTGTAGGGAAAGGAAAAAAAAAAAAAAAAACACTCTTCTGAGCTTGTCATATTTCCTCCACAAAACTCCTGCTTTTCAACTCCGAAATTCATTACCTGTCAAGCGGTTCGCTACCATAATTCGCGCACGATTCCCTTCCCTTCGCTACCCAGCATCTCAGAGGCAGCCGAAACCGCGTCCGAACTCCCCCAACTCCGGGCACCTTCCCGGGCAGCAGCGGAGCAGCCTCGCCCTCCTGCCTTGTGCCGGGGGCGGCTTCGCAGACCCCGCGGGCAGCGCCCCGCTCCCTGCCTCCCTCCCTCCTTCCTTCCTCCGGACACGACCCCCCCCTTACCCCCCCAGCCCTCCCCTCACCGCGGTGCCCCCCCCCGGCCGGTCCCTGCCTCCCCTCCCGCGTTCCCCCCCCCGGCACTCCCCGCCTCACCCCGCGGACCCCCCGGGTGGCCTCGCAGCCGGACAAAAGGCGCTGCCCCTCGGCGCGGAGCCTCGGCCGCCCCTCGCTAAGGCCTCACCCTCGCCTCACCGCCCTGCCCTGCCCGGGCAGGCCCCGGGGGGGATCGCGGCGCCCCGCGGCCCGGCCTCAGACCCCCCCCCCCCTCCTCCGTGACAGGACTGACAGGACCGGGGACCGAGGCCAGGCCCCGGGGGCCTCCCCTTTATGCCCCCTGCCGCCGCCCGGCCGCTCCCCGTCCCCCCGAGCCCCGCTCACCCGCCCGCGGCCCCTCGCCGCCCGCCGCCGCCCCGCCGCCCGCGGAGCCTCCTGACGAGCCGCTGCCGCCGGCGCACGGATCCTCTCGGGCGCTATTTTTGGGAAAGGAGGCCCGGGCGGGCCGGAACTACTTTCCCCCGCCGCTCTCCCCTCACAGGCCGCAGCGCGCAGCGCGCTCCCCGAGGTATCCTGCCGCGGGCCCCGCCCGCCCGCCCCGACGCGGGGCGCTCAGCAGGGGGCGGCGCGGCGGGGGAGACCGAGGGGAGGCTGCGGGGTGTCCGCGGCCCTCAGCGGGGCCGGCGGCGGCCCGGTGGATGGGGCCGGCATGGGCGGATTACTTTGTGTCGCCGCGGGGGAGCGGCCGGCCCCGCGTCCTTGGCCGCCACCCCCGTGGCGCGGGGCCGCCCGCCGATAGGGCAGCGCGGCCGAGCGGAGGGGGGGGGCGGGGCTAGCGAAACGTGGGGGGTCGGAGTGACGGGAGGGGCAGCCAATGGGAAGGGAGGAGAGGGAACGGGCGGCCAATCAGCAGCGGAACGCGGCGCGGAAGGCGGCGGCCGGGCCCCGTGCTCCACAGCCTCGGCGGACGAGGCCCCCCCCTCCCGGCTCGGGCAGAGGATGACGCACGTAGGAAGCCCCGCCCCCGAGAGGCGGCGCATGCGCGGAGCTGCAGCCCCGGTGCGCGCCCAGGCCCGGCGGCGCCGTGCCCAGGGGTTGCCTGGCAACGGCTGCGGCTCCGCGCCCCGCCCCGCCCCGCCCCGGCCGCGGCCATGTCAGGGCCCCGCCGCCACAGGGACCCCCCCCCCTCGGTCCCCTCCGTTATCGCCCCCTCAGCGGGCTGCTGGGAGGAAGGGGGTTTCGAGGAGGGAAAGACAGCTGAGAAATAAAACGTGTGAAAATTTTTCTCCTTCACAAAATGCTGGAGAATGACCCCAAAATAAAAAATTCGTAACAAAACCAGTGAACTTGCCCAAAATCCGTGCTTTAGGGCTTCTTCCTCACACGAAGTGGCTCAGAGGGAACACGCACAGCTCTGCTCTGGGACACCAGAACCTAAGTGCTGCCTGTGGGAAAGAGACAGCAGCTGATGGGCTGGGGCTGGGAGGGCAGCTCCTGGGGCAGGTACAAGAAACAGCTCGAACAGGGTTAGAAAATAAGTCAAGAAACACCAAGTGTGTTAACCACAGCACTGGGTGGAAAAATGCAGATCCTCCAAGATCATTCCCTAAAAATGAACGTAAATGGCTGCTGTCTGGTTGCAATTATTTAGCTCAACTAGAAACAGTAAATTTTCTGAGAACTGTGCCTTAAAGATCAGTATTTGTAATTCACAGTTTACTTGGAATTTAAATATCTGTAGAGAAGTTGAACAACTTCTGAAGCATCCACCTTTTCTTCAAAGCAGCACCTAGGAAAGTGCAGGAGGTGAGAGAGAAATGACAACATGCAAATAATTCTCATCTACCGTCAGGTTTCCGTGCTGATTGCTATTGACCTACAAGGAAGAGATTTAAGTACATGCAGCTTTCTTATATTTCTCAACACAAACAGTTCAATTGTCATTGATTTTTATATGAATACAGTTTATTCTCTTGTTCTTCACTACACCTACCATCCATAATATTTGCGAAGATTAAGACTACAAAATCCTCTCATGAAAGCAATAAGCTTAAGTTCTAAAAGTCAGGGGAAGTCTGAGTAAGACACAGAAGCAAGGCCTGAGCAAGGACTGCTGGTAATGCTCATTAATCATTTTCAGTATGTAATTTATTCTAAACTGGAAAAAAAGAGCAGGAAGGCAAAGAGATAAATAATTGGTTATAATCTGTCCTTTTCAGGCATAGCATGTGTTGCTCCAAGGATTTTTCTATATGCCCTGCAAATGGTAGTTAAGGGGTACAGAGTAGCATCTTTCACACTGAAATGCAGTCCTGTCTCAACTGAAACTGCCCAGTGTAACAATCCAGAAAAGGAAGTGCAAAATATGGCATCCAATTGAAATTACAGATGTTGTTTTCCATACACAATGATTTGCTGCTATATCTGCTTCTACAGCCCCCTCCTGGGACTGCTGGTGAAAAAGAATGGGTGGGAGGGAGGGCACAGATGTTCTCACGTGTCACAATAGCATAAATGAAAAATATCACCCCTTCGGGTGACACAAATAAAGCCACGGAAGGATTTATACATCAAAACAACTAAAATCACTACATGACTTGATGGCCCTGCTCTGTGTTTGGTTTAATTTCCAGAACAAGTGCAAAGGCAAAACACACCTGGATAATCTAAAAGATGCAAAGCTGTAGGTGATTAAGGCAAATCCACACTACAGAGAAAAAAAAGTACCATTTTTATAAGACCAATTAATTTCTGTCCGTAGAAGCAGCAACATAACATGATTCCCACAGAGCATCACACTTGAGTGACAATATGACAATTGAAAAAACATTTCAAGGATCTGCCAGGATCGCTCTTGAGAAATAAGGGAGCAACTGCTCAACACATTTCTGTCCGTCTTACGTACAATCCAGTGACTAAAGAGAACCACCTGAAATCTCTTCCCTTGGCCAAATAGCAGGCCAGTGTGATCTCCATTATATCCTATAAGGAGAAATAAACCCCCAAAAATAGGAAATAAAGACAACTATAGGAAAAATAAAAGACAACAGTCTTAATTGTAACTAAATAACCTCACAATTGAATAGAATCGCCATCCAGCAGTTTACAGCTTTTCCTTGCATTTCTATTCTAGTGCATTTCCACCAACCCACTCAAGGTATTTTGGAGATGCTACCACCAAAGTTTTATCTGCTCTAACTTTTAACTTACATTGTGGGACCTTCCCACAAAACACTAGAGAGAGGTACCATGGCTACACCCCTCAGACCTCCTTTTAAATGTTTCTTGTATTCCAGAAAGCAGCTTTTTCATCATATATTCTAGAGAAAAATTCTTAGGTCTCATGCTTCTAAAAGTGAACTTTGTATAAAAACATAATGTGGGACTTTTAAAGCTATGGATAGGAGTAGGGGCTATTACATGTATATAGCTTTTGCATATTTCTTAAACAATTAAGTTATCCTTCATAGGGAAGAAGGGTCTAAGAACAAGTTTTTACAAACAAGGTTTCTTAAAATCACAGGGTAGATTAATTCCTAACATTGTTTCACTTACAATGGTGGTAGTACCCTATGAATGAAGATGTTGTAAAGGGACTACTTTTTGCAACAAAACCAAATTGTATTCGCAGCATTTCAGGATGGGAACTTGCATTTGAAACAAAGGATATGAGAAGGGGGACTCCAACTACAGGGCAGGAAGCCAGAGAGGAGCAGATAATGGTTCCTTTCCATGAATACTTCGGGTAACCCTGTTAACCCCATAACAACCACTTCAGTGCAGACACAGACTTTCCCTCTCCGAATGCTGGCTTGGACCAAACTCCTATGACCTCTCTCTGTGGTTGGGAGTATTGCTCTTACACTATTATTTGGCTCTGGTGCTCCACCAAAGACAGATATAATCAAGTAAAGATTTCCTTAGTTTAGTTAAGTCCAAGCTGCCTGACAATGCATGAATTAATTTCACTCAATCCATGTCATAAACTGCCCTCTGTAAACCGCTAATATTTCCACATCGTTATATGGTGCATTCAGTAATCTGATTGCCTTGGGAATATTTGTTTTTCCAGAACTTGTGGCCAAGGTACATAAGATTAGATCAGACACAGCTTGTCTAAGAATGCTGTAATGTGGGTGTACAGTATATTTGCTAGTTTGGAGTTACAGGTAAAAGTTCTCTTTCAAACTTTTCCAGCCTCGGGTTCAGACAACACTATCTGAAGGCGCCTGCTGCAGCATTTGGTACTTCTCCTTTTGCTTTGTTGCTGGCCCTCCAATACCACAGACAAACACGGAAAATATTTGTATTGCATGCCTCACTTACAGCATGGGTGATCCGTATCTCAGCAGAACTTGTGATATTTTCTAGGTCTTCACAATGACAGAATACAAGTCTCCCTGGGATTCACACTCTTCTGCTGGGTTTTTCTCACCATTCTGCATGTTAACATGAACCAACAGCTGGGTTTAAGAGACCTGATATAAATAGTAACATCATGCTGCAAGCAAGCTTCTTGGAAAGTTAAGAAAATATGTTATTTAATGCACTCTGACATTTGCTTTCCCTCTCCTATTCCTAAACTGCACTTCTGTAAACACCCACAACGACAAATGCAAAGAAGTTGACTTCTTCGCATAGACATAACAAGTGCTGCCTTGAGCCCAGGAGATGATATCCAGAACAGCTTACCTCTCTCCAGCCAGACAGCTGGCAAATTCTGCACAGTAGGAAAAGGAGTCGGGAGTGTGGATGGAAATTCCTGCTTCCAGCAGCATTCAAGATTACAACCTTCGGTATTTTATTTTCATGGTTGCTCTATGTTGCTTCAGAAACTTCCTGCTTTTGCCATATCTTTCCATTCATTAAAATTGCAGCTTGCAATTAAACATTCTGACATAACATAGCTGAGATTTTTTGGCAGCAGCCTTAACCAGAGGTTTTCAGAGTTTCCTGCAGACGGCTTTAAATTTTCATATCCTCATGAATGCTTGCCACCTTCTTTTAATAACTTGAAAAAATAAGCTTCTCTTAGGAACTTCATTGTTTCTGTATTTCCCCAGCATTCATTTACTGCTTTTAGAAATGTGTCATGCACATGTATATTTATAGAGAGAGCAAAGTGTACATATGCACAGTATAGTTTGACATCTCATAGAGAACACACAGATTGCTTAGTAGATCTAAAGAAAAATAGTTATGTTCAATATTTTCTTTATTAAAATGTATTTTACTCTTGCCATGGTATTATATCATTTCACCCCTTTAAAATTTATTTATTATAATATTCAAAAACGTAATCCTTCATCTGTTAATAATTTGGTGGCTTTAAACATATTATGACTGTCATATATTGAAACACTAAACTAGTATTTTTATGCAATTAAATATTTCCTAGGATAGAACTTGTCCCTTTTCCAAAGAGCTCGAAATCACAAGGATTTTCAAGTTATTTGCGTTTTTACAGTTTAGAATATATCACTTGGAAGCACGTTCAAACACCGCTCATCTCAAATATAGACTTTAGCTTGATTTTAAAGGGGGTCTTTCTAATGTTCAGACTGACCCTAAAGTCTTTTTTCTTCTAACACTACCTGGCAAATAAATTCTTAAGGGGATATTATCAATTTAAGAACCATGCTTTAGTCTAGAATTTTTTCCAAGAGATTAAAGAGAAAATGTCTCCTTTCTTCTGCAAGTTTAATTTCTATATTTGACTGCAGTATGTGTGGTCAGTATGCCATGCTGTTAGGAAACAAAAGGTACAGAAATAGATAAAGGAGACTGTAATACCTGAAAAGTTTTTGAGCTACTTTTTAAAGGAGATGTGAAGTTGGTGGGGCCCTTCAAGTGACAAATCACGTATGGAACTCAAAGTCAAGTAAGTTGCTCCTGACTTGTGCAGAGCATCCTCAGCTCCCGCTGCAATCGGCTAGTGCAGCTCCTAAAATTTAAGGATTATTGTTCTGGAATTTCATCTGTTTTGCTGTAACCTCCATTGACCAAATTGCGCATAAGACAAGACATATGCTACTGGCCTGATCTTGCAGATTTCACATACGGAGCCCTGATCTGCTATAATATACAAGGTGTTGCAAAGAAACCTTTATAGCAGTTAACTTCTGAAATAAAGTTTAAAATTTAAACTTGGGCAGTATGCAAGGTGCATTTCCAGTATTTTACAATTGTGTCAAGGCTCCAAAGTACAAACACGGCTTTGGTTTGCCTTCCGTTGATTTCTTTAGGCTTATACCTGGGATGATTGGTCTGTGTCATGCAGGATATATAAAAAATATCAGCTGCCCTGCTCCCTGTGGCACTTTCAGGTGAAGACATAAGTGGCACTGAATTTATGCTGAAGGTTTGCTCTAATTTGGAAAACAAACCTTAAAAATTTAAGCAGTGTTAATACGGTTCAACTAATGCGCATTTTTGAGTTTTTTTTTTTGTTTGTTTTTTTAATTTGAATGAACAGTATCAGCCATTTATTAATGGGTTTACTGGTTTTGTGGCTGTGATTTCAGATCATTACATACGTTCTCAAAACTTTACTAAAAATAAGCCCAGTTCTAACAATGAAATGTAGCAGCATATTTGTTGCTATTTCTGAGTATTGTTTCTTCGTTTGCCAAACAGTTTAGAAGACAAACTGGCATTCCAACAGCTCACCTGTTTTCTGTAGCTGCTTGATGATCAACTACTTCACAGCCCCTGCTGTTGCATCTAGGACAAGTGTTTTGAAACACAGCTCTAGTACACGCGTAAACGTGTCAGCTCGTGCTAAAATGCCATTTCATTTCCAAGCCAAGCCAGCTGGCTTTGGACAGAAAGTTCTTTTCTGCTTGCGTAGGCAAACTTTATCACCTTCTCGTCCTTTTTCCCTTGCTGTCACGTTACTGCAGAGGTGGTGGTGGTTGATAGAGTGAGAAGCAGTGTTCAAAATGTGTCCATGTTAGTCGAGATAATAATGCCTGGTCTTGCAGCCATGTGTTGAATCAGTCTGCCTGAAAAAGCATCTCACATAACCTAATCAAATGTCTTTCCTTTTATTATATGGAAGCAGAGAAAGATTAACTGAGATTAATTTGACGGTACTGAATAAAAATGGAAAAGGATCCAAAGTTTTGGTGTCTGGCCCTGTGCTTCCTAGGCCCTAATTTCGTAGGGCCTAGATTACTCCTGGGTTTGGAACTCTTATCTTTAGGATCAGTTTAGCAAATCCTGCTGTGTTCCCAGGTGGAAATGAGCAAACATCTTCTTAGCTCTCCCACAGGGTAGAGTAAGAAAACTCATGTGATTTGGGAGGAAAGATGAAAGTTTGGGATTGTTGGTTTTCTTCTATTGTTGGTCTTGTTGATTTGCCTTATTGTTCCTTTTTTTTCCCCCTCCAATGCTTTTTAAGAAAGATATAAGTTCATCTTTAAATTAGACTCTAAAACGTAGTTCTTCAATCATGTCTGCAATGTAACAACTCACTGTTCACAATATAATACTGCTCTATGAAGTCAATGGACAAGTTCTTAATAATCCAAAGATTTGACCAGAAAATGGCACCATCTAAACAAAAAGTAAAACGTGCAATAGTTACCTATTTAGATACCTGATTAGCTGGTAGTTTGAGGTAGTTTAAATGTTTTATCACACTTCACCCAAGCTAAACTGTCCTAAACTAGGTTAAAATTACTACTACAACAGAAGCCAGGTCTTGGATTTAACAAGCCTTAGCTATATGTTCCCCTCAAGGGAAAAGAGGTCAGTCTACCTCAAACCACCTGGCATTTCATGCAGGTATGCATATGGAAAAGCTGACACAAAGACTTGTTATCCCCACACTAATTTTTGTCCATGTGTCCATATCCATAGTTAGAGTTGTTTGCGTAAAGCCAATTTCAAATGATATTTTCAGGGTCTGAATACATGAATGAGTGATCTCATTCATGTACTGACATGCTTGACAACTTACCATGCATCAACTGAGCCGTGGTAATTGACCATGTGTGTTTGCTCTTTGCCTGTGGCGATCTCAGATGGAAGCAACCAGTTTCGACTTTTCTTTTCCTTGCCCCTGAGGTTAAGCTGACACACTGAACCTCACATTTGCTGCAGGCTAGAGAAAGGCACGCTGCAGTTCCTGCCCCAGCTGAGGTGCGGTAACTCGTTACGTTGCTGGAACTGGACAGCATGCCTGAGCTGTTGGTTAAAATGGGATAATGAGGGCATAAATCAGGTGTTAGTTCAGTTCAGTGCAAGTCAATTAGGAACGGATTTAAGGTAAATTGACACAAATCACTCTTAGTCCAGAATAAAAGTGGCTACCCAGCACTAGCTTAACGAAATCAAATAGAGCTTAATCTAACATAAATGGAAAGACTTTCAACTAGCCATAAAAAGCCAAAAAAGTTATGCCCAGTGCTCTGCGTTGCCTAGGGCATGTGCGTTCACTTCATGCAACAAATACAATTTGACACATAAACAAAGAAAGTGAGCCAAATTCACAGCTATCTGTGCAGATAACGTAGGGAGAGGACCTGAGGCTGTGAATGCAGCAATACCTTCTCTGGCTCTCCTAGCAGATCCGATATATTTTCTCGTTTTTAATTGTAAACTGCTGAAGGTGAGAATGGGTAATTCTGCTTTGTCTCAGAAATCTGCATTCTGCCATCGTTTAATAACAGCTATGCAATAATGCTGACATGATCGCACTAAAAGTTGATCATGAACAAACAAAGCAGCTGAGTTTGTTTTCATTCCTTGAGCTTGATGAAAAGCATTAAGGAACAGAAAATGATAGAGATACTGAAAAGTAAATCTAGGTTTCATAAATTTTAATAATCTCTATTGTTATTAGTAATTCAATCTAGCAAAATAATCCCCAATGAATAAAAGGCAAGTAAAGCTTGATTTTCTCAAATGGCTTCACCCTTCATCTCTAGGAACTGTTACTGAAGTTAAGGATGCAGATTAGTCATCGAGTGACAATTTCTCAAATCCTTTACCAATGAGAGATTGACTCAAATGAAGGAATTTGGTCCACTAGTTTCCATTTCCTGGCTGAGTTAGCTCTTCTAAAAAATGCTTTTACAGAGAACGTCCGTGGGAAACTATTCTGAATTCTTTGTGTTGTGTGAGACTTGAGAAGACTCCGTTACGGATCAGTATCCCACTAGGGAGGCTACAAGATGCATATACACAATAAAATGAGAGTCTCGCCCATACAACATACCACATGGTCCTAGCAGCAGCCTGTGCTTCAAACATATTCCTGTAAGGCTGCTGAGAACCAGTAAGGAGCCCTCCTTCCACAGCCTGTGGGAAGAAACAGCCATTTCCCATGGTGGTTACTTGGCTCAGCTATCCAAGGTATGGACACAGCATAAGTCCCATAGCACAGAGGACAAACTAAGTGCCCTTTGCCGTGACATGAATTTTGTTCTGTGTTATTTTTTCCCCCCTCACTCCAAACACCAGTGTATGCACACTGCACAGTTGCAGCAGGCCACACATTTTGAACCCAGGGGGGAACAAAATAGTATGCTATTATCTGGATAATTGAGTGTTGGAAAGAAAGTTGCCTCCAGCACTTTGTCCAGATTAAAATCTCATCAGTACCGTTATCTGGGAAGTATCTGCGGTGACACATGCGTGCTCTGCATCTCAGTCAGCAATCTGGTCTATAGCATTTGCAGAAGCTTTAGCAGTTTAATGACTCTTATAAGCCCTCCACTTATTCAAAAGCTAAAATGCTACCCTGTGTGGGACTGAAACTTCTGAAAGAGCAGATTGAAGTACTCCATGTAAATTGAGCAATTTCTGTTAACACGTGTCGACTAAGCCAGGGCTGCCAATCAGCCAAGCTGCTGCTCTGTTGCAACAAACATCTGAGGTATTGGAGCTTGAACTTAATCAATGTTATTTTATCATGCAGAGCTAAGCCATCAACTGCTGCTCTCACAAACATGGCTTTCAACTACCCCTCCACCAGAGCATACCTGCTTTTTTTTTAGAAGAAATGTTATGTACTTAGCTCTAATATTAGCTTTTAAGAAATCCACTATTACAATTGATGTTTTTTCAGCCTCTAGTACCAAATTATACACACAAGCAACCTGTTTGGGGAATTGCTGAAGGAAAAAAAATGTAAACCACAGCTGTTGTTAAATCAAGATCAAGCACCCGTGTTTGTATCAACATACAGTAACCAAGAGCGTAGAACCTGTAGCTTTTTCCTGACATCATGGTAGTCATCCGAACAGTTGCTTCAGAGGATTATCATCTAAGAAGTAGTTTAATGTAAGAGTAACTAGTTTTAACGTGTCTACTGCAAGAGTCAGAACTGAGGGATGTAGCAGCAACACCAACCAACACTAGCAAGCAAAGCCAACAAGTCAGTTCCCCAGCACCATTTGTACACCCTACCGCAAGTCGTTTCTTTTCTCTGGTACATATTTTTGCTTCTCCATCATCAAGAGTGAAATTATCATTCAGTTACACTGCTGTAAATTTGGACCAGCTCCACTGACTGCTGATATTCATTGCCTCCAAAAGCCCTGGGGATGCATGTTGTACTGCATGCTCTGTGTGGCTCCTCCTAAACAATGTGGAGCTGATCCCTTTCTTCATGCCAGCTTGCTTGTGAGCCATGCGATGGTGTCATGGTTCCAACTTCCTTCTGTGTCCTGAAGATTTTGGCTTGGGTCTTCCCTATTTGCCGTGAGAAGGTTCCAAAATTAGAAACACATTTACTCCTGGTGCCTCCTCTTCACATTGCCGCATTTGTTCTTTCTTTGAATGCTTTCCTCTCGGCACAAGGCTGGGAGTATAGGTGTCCTAGACTCACAGAACAATTTATGTGCTGTCCCAAAGATTTGCACCGATTTGAGCTGGTCTCCTCTGATCTGACTTCACAGCCCATGTAGCTTTAGGTGCATCCAACGATTCCCTTTTTTCCTTCATTGTTTTGGTTCATTAGTTTTAGTGCTGCTGACAAAAACTGTGCATTTCAAAAGGCATCTTTCCTGTGGGCTCTGTTTACTCGTTAATGTGGCTAAGTGTCATCTGAAGGCCTGGGTGACAGCTTGCTCTGCTTTGGATTGTGGCATTCCCATATATGATTTATTGTGTCTGAAGGAAAACACACATCTGTAGGAAAGTGAAGAAGAGCCACAGGAAAGGGGGAGCCGTAAGAGGTCTGGCTGTGAGGGGGACTGTGGAACTTGACATTTAGGTTCCTGCACAAGATGTAATTTCCAGCTGAATAGCTCAGGCACTTACACAGCTTCACTTTGGCCCCAGCTGTGCACTAAGTGCTACCGACATCTATCTTAAAAGCTGCTCGCAGCAACCTGACTTGATGCGGTTGTTTTGTTTTCACTAAAAGACAGGCGAAAAAGTTGCTTTAGTGAAGTAGTCCACATGAACAGGGCTGGAATATTTTGTCCAGGCCACTCAGAAGGGAACCAACGTAGCTGGGAAAATGGCAGATGATTCTGACAGCTTGCAAATAAAAGTTTTGCTGGAAACATTGCACATTGAGCTGGTGCCCGTGTGGCTTCTGGTACTGAATTATTGGTACAATCCCAGTTCTTTCCAATGAATCACATTTTCCTCAGTTCAGGATTAATCAACGTGTCACTGAGATGTATTCTCAGACAATAAGCACTATGATATGGATGTCAAACTATTTTAGGTCACACTGCCGTCTATTTTTAGCTTATCTATTCCACTATAGGACTAATGCCTCAAATTCAGAAATGGCAAGTGTTAAAAGATAGGAAAAAAATCCTGACTCCACAGAGGGTCAGTGAAAGTTATGTCCTTGACCATAACAAGGCCAGGATTGCACCTGATGGGTCTGTTTCAATTAAAGCTTCCTGTTCAAAGCGTCATTCTGTCCCCAGGAGCTGAGATATTTATTCAAATTCCTGCTTTTACAGTGCTTTAGTGTTCCATAAATACTGCCGATGGGGGAACATAAGAGCAGGAGAGGGAGGCTACTTGCTTTGCGTGAAAGATAAAACAGGTCCCCGGTTCACTGCACCAGGCTACTGCCTAGTACACGTTCTGCTGCATTCCTAGTTTTTTCCATGGATCCATAATATCTTTGTGTTGTTCTAAGGTAAGCAAGACTAAACTATGTGCATGTACATAACATATAAATGTAGCTGCATTCTTGCATTATATGCAGCATGTGCACGTAAATGTGTACACAGAGTGCTTTCTTCTTTAACATTAAACAATAATACATGGTGAAACCTCTTAAGTGAAGCAGTCTTCAAAATGAAAATCATGAGAAATATTAGGAGGAAAAAAAACCATATCCATCCAAAATGGAGGCAGCCTTCCTTCTTACTTAAAAGTTGGACTACACAAACACATACATGTTTGTGTACTCCCTTAGGGCTCTGGATTCAGTGTGGATCACCAGGTGTCACATTCAGCTCCTGCAGAAACTCAGAGACAGTGAAGACTGAATTCAAATAACAAGCCCATAAAGACTCGCTGCCATCCAAAACAGAAGAGAAACGCTGGGTATGCCTGCCACAGGGATAGCCAACTGGAGGCCCACACAATCTGGATGAAGCCCACAGAGCAGTTTTCTTTGGCCACTGAGAAGCTGGCTGGCTCTCAGGCTAACCATGTGGTGTTGCTCTTTGTGCTTGGGGCAGGAGGCACAATAAGTTGTGTCTGCCTGAACTTCATGTGGTCAGCTAACTCACCAGAGCATCAGGGCTAGGCTAATAAAAATGACTTTCCATCTGCTACGCACGTTGGCTATCCTTGTCTACATGTTTTTCTGCATAGAAATGAAAATTTGCTTTACCCATGGTCTGAGCTGGCCACAGCCCTCAGCCCGAGCTAATATCCTGCCTCTCAGCACGCCACAGTAATTTGGGCATGTAGCACACAAACTGCAGCTACATGGCTTCTGGTTCTCTTGGACGACAGCCAGAGTAAGCTCGTATCTGCCTTCAAAAGTCCATGTAGACATCGTTTATGTAGCTGGTAGTCAGAAGACCTACGACAGGAGTGGAAAAATACTGCTCCTGCACTGTGGAACAGGAGCGTAGCTTGTGCTTTACCTCCCAGTATCTTTTCCAAGTCCTGGGTATGTTTAATTCTGACCAAGATTGCAGACTGACTTGTCAAGGCCTAAAAGCCAGCAAGATCTGCCTTGACCAGTGAATGGCAAACACACAAATGCCCACGCTGCTGATCACAAAGAACCTGCTTGCTTGAGACTTGATCACTCTTGAAACTATGCCTTCTTCCTCATTATTAGTTTGCTAATCTGCAAGCCATTATTCCTCTTTAAACTGCCCCATTGATTTAGTAGCATCTTTAAAAAGAACATTAAAATTATTCTTCTTCTGCAGCACTGCTCTGGTTCATTAATTACTTCACATTACCAATATACAACTTGTAAAGTGAAAGAAAATTGCAGCTCTGACTCGCAATTGCAATCACACTTTGTGATCCCCGAGTTGGGGACTGGCTGTACTCTGCAGTTACAGCCCCTGCCCTCAGCGCTCACTGCACAAACCCCGACAGTCACGGCTGCTTTGCAACTAACTGGAATGCCACATTGTGTATTAGGGCTTTTTTACACTTATCCCATAAGATATCTCTTTCAAACTGTATAACCTGAGTGTGAATTAGCTTTTAGGGTCATTCTGGATTCTTTTTAGAAGTTTTCTTCCTATGTCAAAGGAGGAAAAATCACGCGGCCTTACAGTCTCTTCCTCCACCCAGGCTGAACTGCTACCCTGTTTACACAGGTAATGAGAGGTTACATTTTCTTTTCGAAATCTGCAGATACTGCAGAATAAATGATGGCTCTCCTTATTCTGCCATACATTATGAGCTGGACGGGAGCTAACAAATGTCTGCAGAGCACTACACCCCCATTGATTGCACTCAACCTGAATTCACGGTGAAGGTCTAACTGGCAGCTCTCCCAGGTGGCACGCTGCAAAGGCTGGCTCCGACAATTTTGCCTCCCCTTGGGAGCAGCAGTGCTGAGAGCACCCAGGACTCAAACCTGCTGAGGAGGGAATGTTAACAGGCATCCAAGACTTTGTTGCATACCGCGGCTGATCTGCTGCTCCGCATCCTGCCCGTGCTCCAGGGGATCCTCTCCTCCAGCTCTGCAGGGAGCCTCTGCAGAAACACCAAGCATTAGCACTGCACCTGCCCACGCTCACCTCTGCCTCTCACTGCTGCTTTCTGTAGTCTCCAGCTTCTATCCTCTTACATCTCACTCTCTAACAGGGGAGCCTGCAGAGTAAAGTTGATTATCAATTCGCTGCTCCTCAGCCTTAGCAGAAAGGGAACAGCAGCGATGATCTTCCCCGTGAGTCAGTGCTTCTTGCTGGAGGATGCGTGACTCACCAGTCCCCACACGGGCTCCCTCCCTCCCCCATCCCTGTGCCTCACCTCCAGCCTCTCCTGCTCCAAGCCCTCCTTTAAGAACATTGCTGTGCAGTACTCCCTCCTGCCTTTACCTTCTTCACTGTAACAAGCTTGGGGGCAGAGAAAACTTCACAGTACTCCTGTTTTCATATCAGGGAAAATAAAATGTTTTCCACTTTGACCACTCAGGTATGTCTGCCGGCCCCTCTGGACACACACACAAGCTGTGGAGCCACAGACCTGCCTGCAAAGTGACTTTCAAGTGAGACCTATTAGAAACAGCAATTCCCTGCTTTAACGCATTCGTTCTGGGCCACAGGTAAGATCCTCGTGTTGTTCAGCTCTCCCCCCTGCTGCTGAGTTTTCTCAGGGGTATTTCTGTTAAGAACCTACTCCAGTAAGCATTTACAGACCTGGATTAAGGAAAAGCAGTAACTGCTGATTGAAACAAGAGAAGAATCAATGAGCCGAGTGTTGGAAATCAAGGCACAGAGTGCTTTTTCCCCTATCAGTTCCAGTGCAGTGGTGCTCACTTTTTGCCTCCTGACTTTTACAGAGGCCTGGGTATTCTCCTCTTACCCCACTGGGCTGATTTTCTTCCCAGAAACAAAGCGCTGTTTGCTCTGGACCACACCAGGAAGCAGTCAAAGTGCAAAACCAGTGCCTGAATTTTGTGCCATAAGGAAGGACAACCGGCTGTAATGAAGAAATGGTGACAGGAGAAGCGAGCAGCCTTACAAAGGGAGTGAGGAGTCATTTATTTACCTTTGGGGAACCTACAGACAATAACAGGAAACAACTTGGAAATAGAGCCTTTTGGATTAGAGTTGAGTGCCAGGGTGGCAACACAAGCATGTAGAACATGGACTCCAGCCCAAGCAGGGTACGATCTGCAGCCACCAGCAGCCTCATTTAAATCTGCTGGGTGGGAGAAGAGCCTTCGCCCTTTGTGGTGGGGTCCTCAGTGGATGAGCTCCTCTGGAAACAGATCCAGCCAGAGCCCAAGCACCGCCCGTAGGTGTGACGGCAACGCAGCCACGAGCTGCAACACTCACCCCACAAGGCAGGTGATCCCTCCACAGGGAGGGACTTGCCCTGCCTCAGCCCACACTGTTTTCAGAAGAAAAGAGGCAGCTCAGCAGCCAGAGCTCTGTGAAACGTGGTATTTTTCACTAGCAATAATCACATGTTGTCATTATAAAGAGCAAAAGCTGACACCAGGCAGCCAGGCCGGATTTCTCCAGAAAATTGTGAGAAAACAGCTAAGAAACAAAACCCCAGCACATCTGTGTGATTGAGGTGAGACTTCCCAACTGGCTGCTCGTGCCAGTTCCAAGACGTACCCCAGCACCAGACAGGACAGACCCTGCTGGTGCAGGACAGAAGCCCCAGTATCAGCTCATCTGACTCCAGAGCTGGACAGTGGCTGAGGCATCTGCTGGATAAAGGGATTCAAAGCCAACTCATCAGCTTTCAGAACGGTCCCTGCCCAGTGGAAATGCCAAAGCAGCAGTGATTCTGCTTGCTTCTCTCCTGCAGTGAAACCTTTTGCCTGGAGCAGATCGGGATTAGCTAGTTACAGGGCATGTGCATGACACATCTTTGCCATGTTTGAGCGAACAGAGTGCACACTCCTTAGGGCAGTCCCTGCCTCTCCCTCAATCTTGTACAACACCATAGACGCGAAATAAGGCACGGTATAAATAGCAGCTCTGTCTCCCTCCTGCTCTAAAATGCAAGCAATTTAAAATACTAGTCTTTCTTACAGGGAGGAGCAGAAAGCCAGCATTTTGAAGCCACTTTCTTCTCCCTTGTTAACATTAAGCCCAGCCTTCTGCTCATAAATAATTCATATGGCCTCTTTTTCCTCAATTACATGGTAGTGTCAGATTCCACACTCTGCCTTCCCAGAGTGACTTTCTGGCTCTTCTGGAGACAGCAAGGCTCACTTGGACGTCTGCAAGAGCCACAAACTCATTAGACTCAAGGAGTAGTCTTTCCATACACCAGCTAAAAGATACAGGACACCTTTGTCTTAGAGTTTGAGTAATTATCCCTTTTCTGAACTGAAAGGCTGAGTGACAACATGTTTACAGTAAATCAGTTTTGCTTTAACCCAGTATTTGTGGTGCAAGTTCTAAATATACTGAAGGATGCAAAGATGAGCTGGGTAAGAGGAATGCATAGCTCACGAGCTAGAGGGCACAGAGAGCTGAAAAAAAAAGAGGCATTAAGACAGTGCTCCTGGGGGCCTAGGAGAGAGACAGAAATCACAGGGAACTCAGTTTGTCAGGTGAAAAACAGATGTGCAAACAAAAGCTAACAACCCCGTTCCCTCTCCTGGCCACCATCTTTTTTGATTAATTTAAACTTAACTTGTTGAGATGAGAAGCCAAGATTTCTGCTCTGCTATCAACAGCTTGCTGTCTGTACATCGCAACTCATTACAGAGAGGCTGTCTGCATTTGTGCTTTAAACTAGTCAGCCAGAAAACATTAGACACGTATTGCATGCTATAGATTGACAACACTTAAAACCTAGATGGCCAAGCTACTGATATAATTTCCATACTCATTAACCATGACATCTCCAGCTCTCCCCCACAGCATTCTGTCAAATTCAGCAGGCCCAAGAACCTGTCTGAGCTGCCAGAAATCATTTCATTACTCCACGGATTGGCATCGCCTGAATATACTCTCACCCCTCAGAGCACAAGTTTATAGAAATCTCTTTCCAGTTGCCCAGCTGTGCATCTTGCCTTCCCTGCACACACACACGGTCTATTAGCTGTCCGCAGCTCTGCCCGCCTCGCTGGCAGGCTGCCTCTTCACAAGCTGCTCCAACAATCGCCCTTGAGCAGAAGCCAACGCCAAGTCTCCTCTTAGGAGTTCATGCTCCGTGCGAGCACTAACATGATTGCACTGGATGGCTTCACCCCGCGTGCTGCTGACAATGACCTCCTACAGACCCCAGGTTTGCTGATGGCAACGAGCTCCTGAGTACGTTTCAAGCTCATTTTTGCCAGGTTGTATTGTGACAGACCTCTCACGGATTAATAATCTGTCAATAGCAGTCAGGCTGCAATGCAGCGTGACACGGGAATTTGGGACTTCTGTAGTTTTTGGTATAAAAGACTATTTCAGATACACTGGAGAACAAGCACAGCCACATTGACAGAGGCAGAAGCTGGGTGCTGGGCTGGGACAGACCTTATGTGGGAATTTTGAAAAGGAAGAAGTTTGACTGGTGGGTATTAAAAAGGTGAGCAGTGACATTTCCAGATATCTTCTCTTAGAAGCAAAGCAAATTCACCTGCTGGCAAATTGCGTCTGAGAATGAGAAACTGTTTACCAGACTCTTCCTGGCAGTGAGGGTGAACGCCAAAACGTCAGAGGGTGGGTCACCTCAGCACTTCATGACTCAAGTGCGATTTGCTTTGTAAAAAGAAGATAAAGACAAAAACAAAACACTGACTGAGAAACAAAGAAAAGGGAGAAAAGCAACTCCGTAGCTCCGGGTTAGGGTATTCACCTGTAAAAGGGCACAGTTCAATTCTGGCCCTGACAGAGCCAATGTATGATTATTGCTACAAACTGCAAGAGCATCAACAGGAGATAAAAAAAAAAAAAAAAAAGTCTTTTCACCCACCTTGTAACCCTCAGAAGAACCAATGGTGTCAGCCTGCGCAGTCAGCATCGCCACAAGACACACGCCACGCTATCAGGATGCCTGAGGTAAAGCTCTCGCTGGCGCTGCATTGCCTCACAAGGCATGTTCCCTGGCACAAGAGGAGCAATGTATTAGTGGCACACATCACGTACCATTGATAACTTCTGGCCATCCCCCACATACACGCTCATCATAGGTCAAATTACTTTTGCCAGTGTCAGCGCACTGTGCTATGTTCAACAGGAACTAGTAAAAAGATGCTTCGCTTTCCACTCTTCCAGGCATAACATGCAAACACACGTGCATCTTAATTTTGCTTAAAATATGAGAACACTTCAAATGCTTCAGACTGAAGCTGCTCAAAGGAACTAAGAAGAAATCTGACGGACTCAGAACCCAGTCAGGAACAATGGTGCTTAGATTTAAAACACAACCCAGAACTGAGTTCTTGCAGTTCATGGAAAATGTGAGTGCTGGGCTGGTGCATTTTTTTATTCGCTATTATTATCTCCCATAGACATTCATCCTGATCTTAACATCTTTATTGTCCACATAGAGCAAGCTTCCTCTCTAACAGAAATGAATGTTCCAGTAAATTTCCTTACACACACACACAAAAATCCAACAAAAAAGACAAAAAGACTCCTTTATAACTTTTTTTTAATATACACTTCATGTTGTGATTCAAAGTGCTCTTTGTTTCAGTAAGTATAAATACTGAATTTTACAATAAAAAAAAAAGCAACAGTGAGAAGGAAAACTTATGTGATGCACAGGTTAAATAAAAATTGCAGTCCTAGCTCCAGACCAATTGCATCGAGAGGCAAATGCTAGGTAAAGTCAGGGCTGTTATTTTGCCTCTAGGACAACAGTTCTTTGTCCTGAACGCCACAGTCAATACCTATAAATGTTCCACAAGTCGTCATAAATTTCTGAAAAACTTCTCTGCTGCGGACACAAACATGAGACCTTCTGCTTTAAAATTATAGCAGAGTTAAGTTAGAAGCTACAATTTACTTCCTAGAAACAGTGAGACAACCGTTTTACACACTATTCGTCTGATGTAAAAGATCTGTTTGCTTGCATTGGTCTGAAACCCTTTTAGCTGACCTCATCAGCAATGAGGACAGAGAAAGCAGCGTTATCTTAAAATCTTCCACATGGCACCCCGTGAAAGAAAAGTTAGTTCTTCTCCCTGGAAAAGCACGATGGCCAGAGCACGGGTCAGGTTCAAGGCTACTGCCCCTGCCTGAGCAGTGAGCGTGGGCACCTCCGAGCCTTCCACCCCTCATCTTTAAACAAGGCTTAATAAATAAATCAGCCCTCCTGCAAAAATATTTTGTGACCTCCGGTGAGCGACGCAGTATAAATCCACATGAACATTTCCTTTTATTATCAGTAAATACTCTTGGATTGGTTGAAATTGTTCCTGCCACTGATATCGCTGATCTCTGAAGAGATAAACACGAGCTGATTGATGACTTGTCTGCAGGATCTATTTCAACCACCCCCAGGCAGGATATTTTCCATGTGGGTAATAATAAATCTTACTATTGAATGTCATCAAATGAAGGCAAATTACAGTAAAAATAGGCACAGTTATGTATTTCTTATTATGTAATACTAAAGAAGATTCTTCAAAGATGAGGGGAGCTTTCATTTGCATGTCCAATTTTTTGTAATGTAATTCTTTTGCCTACTTTTAATTTATCTTTTCCTTTAACAGCCTTATACAGTCAAGTAATATAAAGAGGCTCTGTCTCCTCAGAATAGACTGTCCCGCCGTCAGGTCTGGAAGGTAAGTTTGTTATTACGACGGAGATTGAATAACGTCCATTCTCAACAGCTACCTGGGCTGCCTTCGAGTAGCACTCAATGGGATATTTTGAGGTACCACTAATGCTATTTTATACATTTTATTTGCAAAGGAAGCAAATGGCATCCTTTCTTGTCACTTAACAGAAAAGCTTTGAAGAGGGAGCTGCCACTCACTCTTATTGCTCCCAATTTCTTTCTAAAAATGATTGTAGCGTGCCAGGGAAAAGTTCTACCTTCATAATGAGAACAGCACTGAGAAATGCTCGTGCCACGTTATTTGTGCCAAGCTCAGAACTAAAGATCTAAGGATCTAAGAAACTTTCTAGGACCTGTTAGATACAATAAAGCTAAGGCTTTGTACCAGGGTGGCTGTGCTGCCGAAGGAAAACGTGCAAACCCAAATCTCACATTAAAGACGTAAGCATGAGAAAGAGAGCTGTGAAATAAGATTACAAGTGGTCCACTTACCTCCTGTATTTCACCATTGTGATACCTACACAGAATCAAAAATCTTTGTCCCCAAAAGCAATGAACCCGTCAAAGAATACATGGAGACAGAAACCGCTCCATTCTGAGAGTAACTTGTGCAGGGCAAAGATAGTGAGCTGGAAAATAGGAAGGGATCAGAACAGGTATGGGAGAGCTGCAGAACTTGCAGGGAACTTCTCAGCTCCCTTGGGGACCTGAGAAGCTGTTGGACATGGCCAGTAGGACAAGTAGGTAATTTTTAAGAAGAGTGGGAAAAGCTATGCAGAAGTTTAGAGGCCATGGCAGAAGAGCCCAGTACTGCTAAAACACAACACAACCATAGATCTCACAGGCAGAATGGCAGCTCATTGCATAATCGTGGCATTCATTTCGGGCTATAGAGCTACATCAAAGAGTTAATACAATAAATGACAAGAACAAATCAGCCTGGAAAAAGGTGAAAGTAATTCCTGTGATTCCACTGGCCTTCAGACTGCCATGGAAAGTCTTTTTTCCATACCTGGAAGGCAGCCTGTTTGATTTTGATATGACCCTGAAAACCTAGATCAAATTTTCTGGGCTTTCCAATAATAATACAAGCAATGCTTTAGCATCCAAGGTCTAGCTCCCTTGGAAGAGGAAAATTTTGCTCCTCAAACCTGTTTGAGCTTGCAGACTGCCCTCAGAAGGAGCACAGACTACACTAAGTGAGCTTAGAGTCCCACTACTGAAGACGTGTGCTGTAGCTCAAAAGAAGACACTAAATTAACTCCCTAAGGCTGATTCCCTTCTGCCATTTATTCATTAGTTTTGTGCACCTGAACATTAAGAGTAAACCTCATGTTTGTAATGAGAAAGGCTTCACACAATGCTCCCCATGGATGACAGAAAAGCTCTTGGATTTAAAGGAGTCAGCTCAAACTGACCACAGGAAAAGCCCAAAAGACAACCTGAAAGAGGAGAAAACAAAGGTGCTAGTTTCTCTTAGATAGCAAGACCACCTTCAATTTTATTTATATATACACACATGTACTTTCATAATAATGTATATATGTAAAATATGCACATATAATTCTACATCACATTATATGAAGATACAGATATAAAATCAACAAAGCATTGGTATTTTCTATACTCACAGTGGGACAGGATTGATGAAAGCTACCTTCCACAATGAGATCACTGTGAAATTTACACTGTGAATGTGATCCGGCCATGCTCTGCTCTTTCTGGACAGCGTGGCCAGAGATCCAAGCTGCTCAGGTGTTTTCAAGATCTCTCTGTGATGTTATGTGGCATTTAATATCCAGGGATGACTACAGAGACTGGAAAGCTTTCATAAGACTAGGGAACCTGACAAGCATTCTGGTCTGAACAGTCCTGGTCTAGATAGTTCTCTTCTAGAAAAGAGAAAGCTACCAAAACACTTTGACCATGCCCAAGCAGATTTAAAAAAAACTACCCTAACTTTGAACTCCAAAGCAAGCCCAGCAAACATTTTTCCCTTCAGCACATCTGGCTAATGCAGACTTTAAGAGCATCTCTGCTACAGGCTTGGGGCAGACAGAGGCACTTTTCAGAAGCTTTCAGCATGTGATCCACAAGAAGGGAAGGAATAAAAGACTTTGGTTTATTAGTTTGTTATTCTCCAATCCCAGTTATTACAGGACAGGCACTATGTTTATGATGGATTTATTCGGAGAACATTTTCTCCCTGCCCACGTAACTGTGCTTCAGACTGAAGCCAAAGCTGTATGGGGGGTTATAAAAGCTGCAAACATTTTTCAGTACCATGTACAAGCTCAGTGCTTCAGAAGTACATACAAGGAGATGAGCCAGCAATGAGGAGCTGGCTTAGTACATAGGAAACTACATCCAGTTCCTCATTGTACCACCATGCTCTCCCATAGCTTCAGCCAGCCCCACGTCGTGAAATAAAACTGTGAGAAGGGGGCAGAAAATTCAGCATCATACACACAGTCTGCCATTTACTCTTCCAACAACCAACTTCTGTGTTCTTGGATGGGTTTATTTTTGCCTCAGCCTGCGTGAAACATGGCATTACTGACCATTTCTGAGCAGCTCTCATCATCACTGGTTTTCATGTACCAGGTTTCCAAGCATCACTGTTGCCATTTCACCTGCAGTTCCAAGCACATCAGCCTCATATCTACATACATAGTCAAATCACTGTGCCCACAGGGACCAATTTATTTTTCCATCACCTGTAGCTTCCTTCATTTTATGCAGGAAGATGCTAGCAGCTTCTAACGAGGAGCATTATGAACAGCGTGGTAACACCTTGCTTCATCCCTGCTAAGTTTCTCATGTCATCTTGTGAAGTCAAATCCTGGTTCCTGCAAAGTCTCTAAAAAAAAACACCGTTAATTATAACAGGATCCATTGTTGGAGTGCACATATTTTGTCTCTATCTCTGTGGATTTGTTGCCTATTGCTGCTGTCTTCCTACATTTAGGTATTTATCCCACTGCCCTACAGTTCTGGCAGCTGGAGGTTGCAACAGTCCTGACAATACACAGGAGAGGCTCTCTCAGTACAGAAGTTCCTTTGTGTTCCTGTCTGTACATCACTCATGGCTTTAGCCTCTTCCCTCTGTATTTATCACCCCTCCTCCCCCATTAGGAGCTGAACATTCAGACAACTGCCCACTTGCTGGGAAAAAGCACGGTGCATGGCAATAGGAGCCAGTATCTCTGGGTGGCTTGTGATTTGTATTCTGTGTTACAGAAGCCAGTAAAAACAAGCCAACCCATCAATTTATGGCTTGGGTCAGGCCATTTGCATATAATTTGAAAGCACAGTAATTATGAATTCCTACTGGATTCCCGTTGTTGTTTGAATATAAAGAAATATGTAACACAATAAAACTCAGTGAAAAGCGTTGAGGCTTCACCTCCCCAAAGCCACAAATACCACTAACAAGGCTCACGTCACCACTGAGGAGCTCCTCAATAGGGTTCACGAATGTGTCTGAACATGACAAATTTGGTCTTAAGTAAAAACAAGAGCCCAGCAAGTCCCATCGATATGAATACTTCTCACATTTCTGTTATTTACTTTTCTCATGACTAATGTGCACTTCAGTCCGGGCTTCAGAAGGACAGATGCTGCTGGCCAACTCTGCACCCTTGGCACCATGCTGTCAGTAAGTAAGGTCACTTTAAGCAGTGACATTATGGGCTGGGACACTACGCGTTGCCTTACTGTGCTGTATTGAAATCCAGGACTTCTCAGAGGGCCGCAGATTTCTTCCCATGTGTTCCATATGGCTTTGTAGCAAATCTATCACAACAGTGCTTCATACAGGTTTCTTGTTGCTAATGCATCCCCTCGGGGATTATCTAAGTGCTCTTGGTACAAACCCTTCTGATAAGCCTTGGAAGCAGCCAGCAGCACATCTAGTGCTATCAGCAACACGTTAGGAAAGGAATGTCATGGCAAAGTGCTGCCGAGTCACAAGACAAAAACCAGCCTGGTGTTTACAGCAGGGTAGGAAATACCACATTAAAATAAAAGCATGACAAGGGAAGAGCACGGACTTTGGGGGAAAAAAAAATGAAAATAAATCAAAACCACCTCTAAGCTCCTGGTTCCTTTGTCATCAAGTCAGTGCATTTTGAAGAAGCCCTGTTTGGAGCGAAAGGGTTTTTGTGAGGCTTTATCTTGGCCTTTAGCAGACAGAACCGACAACCCTGAAGTGGCAAAAACCACTTGCCAAGTGCCACCTTCAGCGAACAACGGAACACAACACCATGCACCGAACAGCAAACTATCAGCTCCCAGGAGGAAGTGTCATTTTCACATCCAGTTTGCTACACAAGAGTGGGAGAGAAGCTCCAACTGTTTTGAATTCATGTGTCAAGTCAATCACAGGAACAGATAATATTGGAGTTATATAAAATTTCGGAAGGAACCCCCACCCACCACCTGCAACACTCACTCGCCACTGTCAGAACAGCTCTGTAACTGAAGACAGCACTGAAGAGAAGTTGTCCTCCTGGCTTTCTGCAAAGTAGCTGATGGGATCACTACAATTTCATTTTACATACGAGCTGAGGCAGAGGACGAGTGTTTATTTTTGCTCCTATCAGAACAGTATCTGAGAGTCCCCACTAGCCTCTAAGTGCCAACTGTTTGGTGCAAGTTTAAAACTCTTCCATCTGATCCTAGAAATTTGAATTCTCAAAAGACTTCACAGGATCTGCATGGAAGGAAGGAAACATTAGCAGCGCGCCCTGCAGATTGCTCCAATCTCCCCCCTCCCTTTTTTTTCCCCTCTCTGCAAGGCCTTGCCTTCCCCTCTAGGGAAATCAAAGCAGATCTCTCTAGCTTCCTCTGAGTGTCTTTACTTGTGAGTTTTGTTCCTGCACACAGATGGCATCAGTGTCAGAGCTGCGAAGTTAGACATCAAAAGCTCTGTTCAGAAGAGCGGGTCCGAGGACGAACTGAACCACGCTGAGCCGTGGGCCCTGCACGTTGCTGTGCACCTTACTGACCGCTGCCCTGGCTGGAGGCCAGGCCCACCGCC